GGCTGTTTAGGCGTTGCAGTGACCTGTTGTGGAGATGCACGGAGGATGCTTTGGCCATTAGACTTAAAAAGAAAATAAGACAATTGAGTGACCCCGTTGAAAAAATTTGCTCCAGAAGGTGAGTGTGTGCTTTGTGAAGGTGGAGGAGGAGAGGCAGGCACTGCATTGTGTTGTTTTAGTAGAAACATATCTTGTCTTTCTCAGCTCTGCCTGAGTTTGGAGTGATTCACACCAGGCACGTTGTGGTTGTTGATCTGGCTGTGATATGTGACAGCCTGTCAGGACATTGCAGGGTTTGGTGTTGCCAGAGATCTGACTGATGGTTTCATGTCAGTATCTGCCCATGACTTACCCTGAGGAGCAGAAGGTTTTGCTCCAGTTCAAATCCCGTGGCTCTCAAATCCAACTAGGCTCTGAGCTCTTTTTCCAGGCAAATCCCTTTTCTCTGCTGGCCAAGCTGTTTCTTTCCATGGCACCGTGGGAAACTTGCTCAGAGTGTCCTTATCAAACCAGTTACAGCTATGACTGTTTCTCCTGGCACTCCAAAACCAAACACAAACCACCTTTACAAAGGTGCACAGGGAAGCAGCCTCACCTCATGCTTTAAAGCTTGTCAAGAGGCCTCTGATTCACTGCTGGTGTCTGCCAGGAGGGACTGCTCAGTTCAGCTGGAGTCAGGAGAAATCCACAGGCTGCAGGATCCCTGTTGAGGAATCGACATGCTGGGGAAGAACTGGTCCTCTTAACGTGTGTAAATAAAGCTTTGCATGTGGGATTTGTTCAGGACACTCAGAGTGGGACAAAGAAGCCTGCACAGCCTGAACACAGGGATCAATAGGCCCAGTCTTTTTATTTCTCTCTGCAGTTACACTGCTCAGACCCCCCAGGATGGTGTTGGAGGTGAAGGTGTCCCTCCAGGTGATGTTTGATGTGAGTGTGCTCAGCCCTGGGGAGGACTGAGGTGCAGGTGTGTGAGCTGCACTGCCAAGGTTTTGAGAGGACAGGAGTGATTGTATCACTTAAAACCCCTGACCGGCCTGGCCTGTCCAGCCAGCAGCTCAGTGTGTGTCTGTGTGTTAGATACCTATAGCAGTGAATGTCCTTGGAGAGCAGTTGCTGTGTGGGTTGGGTGTTTGAGGGGAGCAGCACCAGTGCAGGTTGGATATGTTGGGATGAAACAGCACAGAAAATTGCTGTAAACATCTGTGGGATAAGGAGGGGTAGTAGGATGTGAACAGAGGTTTGAATCGCTCTGATTTAGGTCTGTGTGGACAGGAGTTTGGTTGTTATTTGTTCATAAAGATGTCCTGGAACTTCTGCTTTCGAGCCTGTTGATAGAAAGCTCAGCTCAGGGTGATGAGGCAGTGACACACGGCTGAGCACAGGGCTGACTCACAGCACTGCTTCCAGCCCCGTCAGGGAGCAGCAGGCAGGGGCCTGTGCTCACAGCACACTTTCCCTCTCTAAAACACTTCTGCCAGTGCTAACCCTGCTCCAGGATTGTCACTGTCACGTGGGGGTTGTCAGCAGAAAAGGGGGAAGAAGGTCTCGCAGAACCTCGGTTTGAAATGTGTGTGCTGGACTAGTATCAGGAGCTGCTGTGTCTCCTGCTGTGCCCACAGCCAAACCTAGAGAACTCTTTTGGGAAGAGAAAAGCTGTGGTCACATGGGATCAGCACTGTTCGATCATCTGAGGGCAGTAGTGGAGCTGTTCTCCTGGAGGCAACATTTGAGAACTTTGTTTTCTGAGAGCAAAGTCGCAACATTCTCCTGCTAAAACCAGCTCTAGGTAAGTGAAAATATGAACCTGGAGGATCCATCACCTCTCTGGGACCTTCCCATGACTGAGCACTCCCTGTTGGAGGTGGGACTGATTTTCCCAGTTATGCTCCATAGAACTGAGAAGCTTTGCGACGGGAACTGAAACAAGCAGTGTCACTTAAGGAAGAGATCTTCTGGGCTGACGTGCCTTAGCCTGGACTGCTTTTATTTGTCATTGCATTTACTTTTCCTCTGGTACTTTGAATTGTGACTCTCCCATGGGCACTAGGAAAATATTTACTGAAGCAGTGTCCTATGTGTGGAGTCAGTGTTTGTAAACAGTCTGTGTCCCTGTCAGCCCCGGGACAGGACAAGAACAGGGTGTTGGGGGCACGGTTTGAAAGAGGAAACTCTCTCATTAGGACAGTCAGTTGCAGTTTTGGACGTGTTGATTTCCAGTTGTTTCATTGCTAATTTCAAGTTGTTTCCAGCTGTTGTGAAGTGTTCGTTTCCTATAAACTTTGAAAGGATGAAACTGTTTCTTTTCCTGTTTCTGTTGTGCTCCTGTGTTGTATCCGTGTGGGATCTGTTATGAGTCGTGTTTTGAAGCTAAATTGTACAGCTCCCAGGAGGCTGATGCTGTGGGTTATAATCGCTGGTGTAGTGAGAATTTATTCTGGAATACCTTTCTGCAACATCAGCTGGAAATCCCCTGTGGTTTGGGTGACAAATCCCCTGTGGTTTGGGTGACATTCCTCTGCCGCAGGGGCTCTCGAGCTGTGGGTGATGCTTTGGTGGCAGTGGGGTGTTCCCAGCATTGATGCTTGGGAGGATCTTATGCAGAGCAATTCCCATGCACCACTGCTGCAGAGTTTTGGGCAGGAAGGAGGGTGGGAAAGTCTGGGTGTGTTAACAGTGATGACAGCGAGAGACTCGCAGGAAGGAGCTCTGGGTGATGTCAGCTCTGTGGGAGGAGAGCGGCCTTGTGTGCTTTAGGGCTGATTGGAGCAGTGACCCTGGTCCTGCAGCCTGCACGGAGTCACTGAGGCACGAACCTGTACAGGCTGTCCCAGCTGTGCACAGAGGCTGAGTGACACAGGTGAGGTCCAGATGGAATTAAAAAGGAAAAAAAAAGAAATCAAACCTATTTTGCTTTACTGGTAGCTCCTAAATTCAACATAAATGTAAATCCAGGGTGCTTCCAAGTTCATTAATCCACACTTTTGTCATGCAACAAAACGGAGCACACTGAGAGCCACCTCTGCAGCCAGTACCTGTGAGAGCTGCACAGCAGCTGAGGCTCTGCCCTTCCAGCCACGGATGTGCCTGGAGCACTGTCACAGTTCTCAAGATTTTTAAAAATAAGGATTCAGAAGGAAAGCAAGGTTGAACCTGGTTTTAGTGAAAAACAAAGTCTGGCCTCGAGTGAGAAATGTGCTGTTTGCTCTTCAGCTTGGCAGATGCAGAGTAACAGTTCGGTGGTAAATAGTACAGACAGTCCCACTTCCTCTTCCCAGAACGAGGTGGTTTGGGGTTTCTGACCTCACTGTGCAATCCCACGTGCTACCCCTCGGACCCTTGACTGGGACACTTGTGCTGGTTTGGTGGCTGATGTGCAGAGCTGCTGCAGGAAGGGAGGTTTAACAGTCCCTGCCATGAGTGAATTCTGCTGCAGAGCCTTCTGCTGTTACTGCCCTGAGTCTCTTAATTACAAATTAAGGGACAAACTTGTCTCGAGTTGATCTCATGGGGCAGTGAAAATTATCATAAACATCAGTGTTATCCGAGTGTGAAGGCCCCAAAACATCCAGCACAAATCTGATTGAGATTTTTTTCCTGTTACAACTTCAGTTGCTTTTTAGAGTCTTAGAGGAGGGAAGTTCTCGGTGTTTGGAAAGCTCTTAGCTAAGATACTGAGATATGTGGCTCTGGGAGGGTGAGAATTCCACGTGGGCAGGGTTTTATGGAGATTGCTGTTAGGAGAAGGGTCTGTGGGATGCGTTAATGTCATTTCAAACCGGGACCGAAAGGGCACAATAACCCTCCTTTGTGCCCACACAGGCAGAACAAACACCACGGAGCTGTGTTTGCTTTGGAAGGGCTGAACTGACCCTGTGGGAAGTGAACTGGTGTTCTTTACCTGCAGGTTGGGTCACTGTGTGTTTCTCCTTGTTGACCATTGAGCTACTTTAGGTTAATGCCAGAGGCTTTACTGAGCCAGCAGTTGAGTTTTGGAAATCTAACTTCGATTTAGTCTGGTTTGGGTGTTGTAATATGCACTAGGAAATGGAAGGTGTGTGTGGCAGCTTGTTTAGCTGCAATCTCGTTCCATGAGCAGCCTCAGGGTTTGGAGATCTGGTGATGCTGAGGCTCAGAACCACGTGGTGTTTAGTATTGAAATAAGGTGGGAGGGGGAGGAGAACAACCCTCCTCATGTGGCTGCTGAGAGTGCAAACTCTACTCTGCTTTCTGGGGAGGGAAGGGATTGGGAAGCCCCGTCTGAGGCTGCTGCACAGCATGAACTGGTTTTCTAGGGCTGAGGTGGAATGACCCATTGGCATTCATTGTTCAGAGCAGCCCATGGCACGGGGCCCTGCTGGTCTGAGGGCTGCTCGTGTCTCCAATTTCAGCAAGGAGGTGGGGAGGGAGGAGGAGTGGTGGTTTCTCTGTTGTTTGGGTTGGTGTTTCTGGCTTGTGCAGTTTGCAGTGGCTCTGGTGTCAGGAGAACTCGGTGTCTCCTGTATGCTGGAAAGTGAAGCCACTGTCCTGCTGCTTTGGGCTGGAGTGACCCTTCCTGACACAGAACTAGGGGGTTTTGGCACCATTATTCTGTCTTTGTAACATTTGGCCTCATGGTTTTTAGCACTCAGAGGTACTTCTTTAAATGTCTTGGAGAAAGCGGTCGTGTGAAAGTCATGTCAATAGCCCCTTGTGAAGGCTCAGTACCACCAGTCCTCTCTGAATCCATGTGAAGGTGGCTGCTGAATGGAGAGGGATGGCTGCCCCGACCCTGGTGGTGTTCAGTCCAGGCTGGATGAGCCTTGAGCAACCTGGTCTAGTGGGGAGGTGTCCCTGCCCAGGGCAGGGGTTGGGACTAAATGATCTGTGAGGTCTGTTCCACCCCCTGTGATTCTGTGAAATTGGTCTTGAGATCCCTCCTTTCCTCAATGGTTTATAATTTGCTTAATTATTGTTTTTTAATTTACACTGACTTCTTATTTCCCTTCCCCTGCCTCTAGGCCCTATGAGAAAAAGGGAAAGCTAAGGATGCTGGAGCAGAACAATGGATTTCTCTTTCTCTTTCATGCAAGGGATCATGGGAAACACAATTCAGCAACCACCTCAACTCATTGACTCGGCCAACATCCGCCAGGAGGATGCCTTTGATGGCAGCAGTGACATTGCTGAGGATGGGGGCCGGACGCCGTACGAGGCGGCGCTGCAGCAAGGCTTCCAGTACCCCACGCCCACGGCGGAGGAGCTGCCCCCCATCACCAACGGGTACCCCCTGGCCATCAGCATGTACGAACCACAAGCCAAATACCAGACGTACACTCAGTATCCCAACGGTTCGGCCAATGGCTTTGGGACGGTCAGGAACTTCAGTCCCCCGGAGTATTACCAAATGGAGAACTCGAACGCGAGGCAGCACGAGGTTCTGGAAAAGCCTTCCCCTCCCCAGCCGCCGCCTCCAGCACCACCCTCAGCTCCACAAGTGGGGATTCCAAAGAAGACTGGCTCACCAGAGATCAAACTCAAAATAACCAAAACTATCCAGAACGGCAGGGAATTGTTTGAGTCCTCCCTGTGCGGGGACCTTTTGAACGAAGTCCAAGCGAGGGAGTATGCTAAGGCGAAACATGAAGGGAGGAAAGAGAAAAGGAAAAAGAGTAGCAAGCATGACTCTTCCCGGTCAGAAGAGCGCAAGTCGCACAAAATTCCTAAATTAGAACCAGAGGAGCAAAATGTAAGTGGAGTGATGGTGATTTTGGCCATCTGCACACCCGGTGTGTTGGTGCCTGGCCTTGCTGCTGGTTGTGTGCACGCTGCGGGTCACGAGGCTTCGGCTGCCCCTCGGACTCCGGCCGAGGCTGCCAGGAGCTGTGTCTGTAGGACAGCACAGCCTTGGTTAAAAGGCTGCCTATGAGGAATAAATGTTAGGAAAGATTATATATTCTTTTCTAAATATTATTTGGTGTTGTAGCTTGTTTAGAGTTTGCTGCACTCTGACCAGTGTTGAAGATGGAGCTTTTGGCCAAAAGCACACACATTCCTCAAACTGCCTCTCAAAATAGTGCCAGATTCTTCAGTGGAGAGTCAGGTTACTTGGGGTACTCAACACTGAAGCTTTTAATTAATCTTTGAAAGTTATTCTAAGTATTGTGGTGTACAAAACCCAAGAGCTGTGTAGCATATGTAGAACCAGTAGAAATGAGTAATCTAAACCAGCAGGGAAATGAGAAGAACGAGCTGAGTCAGCAAACTGGGAAAATCCAGTATTGCTGTCTGTCACCGTTTCTGTTGGGTTTTGTACCATGTCATACAGTACATCAGATGGTGTTACTGGGATTCTGGGAAGCAAAGGCCCAAATTACCACAGATTTCTCTCATTGTTTTCTTTTCAGTTTCATAAGCCACTTCAGTACCTCTGTTTCCTTTTCTCTTGCTCATCCTGGCAGCTCTGTGGTGCTGGTTTCTGCCTCTCCCAGTGTGAGGGGATGAGTGGCAGAGAGCCTGGTGAGGGCCAGGAATGGGGAAGTTGCCCAGCACAGGCTGGGCTGGGTTGGTACAGAATGTGGCAGAGCTTTTTGTAAGGTCTGTGAAAACCCTTGGTGCCTGCTGCTGGTAGGCTTGGAAGAAGATCCTGTCCTGCAGGGATCCAGAAGAGCAGGTCACATGCTCAGTGCAGGAATGGTGGTGGTGGTGTTAATGGAAGAGGTGCTGGTTTCACATTCACACCCTCACCAGGAATAGTTACAGGTCTGTATAACTATTACACGTCCTCTCTGGGAAGTGACCGCTGCCAGACACCAGGTTCGTGGTGTATCAAGGTTTTGAGCATCTGCTGTGTTTGGTTGTCATAGTTGACTGTTGAAGCTCAGTTAGGTCTTAATAAACTTTATAATTCAAACTTGAAATGTACTATGCACTTAAAACCGGAGCCATATGTGGCTGCATTGGTGTGGGATTTTTTTGCCCTTGGAGATGCTGTTGGAAGCCCTGTGAGGTGGCTGTAGGAGCTGCTCTGTTCCACTGGCAGCTGCTGCCAGGAGGCACTTCCCAAGTGGCATCTCCCTCGTGCTTTCTGGCCTCTCCTCCAGTCTCTTCCTCCCCCACCTCAGGCTGTCAGTTTGGCTTTACCAGTTTGTCCCCCTCTTACCAGGGACTCCCATTCTACTCCTGAAGCTTCATCTGTGCCTGTCCCTCTGTTTGCCTGCTGTTACTTGCTTACCATGAGAACAGCCTTCTCTCTTTTCCAGCCTGCTGTCTTTCCCAGATGGAACTAAGACCTTGTGTCTTGAACTCTGAGTTTCTAGCCACATGTGTTGTCCAGAATTCACCAGAAATCTTGGTCTTGCTTTTGTCCTCCTTGTAGCTTACATTTCCCTTCCCAAAGGGGTTGCTGCAACAAGTGTTTCATGTTATCCACCCCAGTTTCAGACACAGCTTGCTCTGACAGGAACAGGATTTCATGCTGGTGGTTTCGGTATGAGTTGGTCAGGGCAGCCTCGAGTCCATCCTCTCAACCGTTTTGCTTTCCACTGCACAATATCACCTTTGTGTACGTTCATCATGTACAGTGTTGTCGTCTTCAGTGTTAATGGTATGAGACTTGTGACTTGGGATCATCTTAACAGGAACAAACAACTTTTGGTACAACTCTGATTGTTTTACAGTTTTACACTCAGCCTGGCTGTGGAAAGTCAGGTCATCTGCAGTTGTTCCTCTTTCTGACACTGTGATCTGGGTGGGAACCTGCTAAGTGTGGGAGGATGCTCATACTTGAGAGGCTGCTTTGAAGTGGAAATGTTGTGAAAACACTGGAGAACCTTAAGGTCTGAATGCTTGTTTTAAGAGTCAGCCACTCTGCTCAGTAGTTGTGTTCTGTGGGGAGCTGGAAGTTTGCAGTCTGAGCACTCGGCTTGGCTCTCCTGGCAGAGGGAAGGTAGTGAAGGAAAGGCAGGAGTCAGTGCTGTGCCTTCTGCTGCACGGGGTGGAGGCATTTCTGCCCAGCAAATAGGAATGTGTTGGGTCTTACATGGTCGTTATCTGCAGGCTGCTCTGAATGAGACACCTGACCTGAACTGCTCTGGGTGATCTGTGCCAGTGCAGCACACAGCAGGACTGACACAGGGTGGCCTGGGTGTGATGTGGGTTATCAGCACTGTTGGTTCCTTGCTGCTTGTGTCTGTCTCCTCCTTTCGCTGCTCTTTTGAGTCCTTTTGCTGCTGACTTCTCTGCTGCATGAAAGCAAATGTGTGGGCTCTGCCTCATTAGATAGTTCCTAGCCCACCCTTATCTCAGCCTCTGTCCCCTCACCCTCTGTCACAGCCACCCCACGGCAGTGTCAGCTTCTGGTCAGGGCTGATCCTGCTCTGAGTTGTGAACTCTGATCCTCCAAATACATTCGTCAACTCTATGCAATTTAATCTCGATTTTACAATGATCATACTGTGTATTTAACACAGTGTATGTCCTGCAGTTCTTGCAAATAACTGTGAGACTCTCCACATACTGTGGATATCCTGACATGTGCTTCTCTGGTTTTTTGAAGTTGTGTATTACTTCCGTTGAAAAGTTCTTTGGATTTGCTGTCCCTGGGTGTTTGTTTTTCCATCACTTGTTACAGGAGAACATTGTTGGATGCAGGTGTGATTGTAATGTAAATAGGGTAGGGAAAACAGGAATTTTTTGACTGTGATGTTACTGTGGTTTGGTGAATTATTTTTCTGCCTGGTTTCACTATTATCTTTTGTTGTTTTACTGTCCCCTTACCTTGTTTGTGTTTGTTTTCCTTTTTTCTCTTTGTTGTTACCCATTTCCTAGAGACCAAACGAGAGGCTCAGCACACTCTCAGAGAGACCAAGAGAAGATGCAGTGCTGGAGGAGGCCCCGGTTAGTACATACACCAGCGAACGCTTCTGGAACTTAGAGAATGTCACTGGGTTTGGACTATTTATTCCATTGATTCTTTAATTTGTCTGATAAATGAGTTGTCATTTCTTTGATACTCTCATTAATCATCACTGCATGAATGCATTTCTTGTTGTACTGAGTTTATTGCTTTATATTATCCCAAAAGCCACAATCTTAATCATACCAGAAAGCAGAAATGTTTTTGGGCCAATGGTGGTGTTTTCTCTTTTGTGTCTTGGTTTGTTAGTGACTTCATGTTGTAAGTCCCAGCTCCTTTTTGTCGTGCTTCTAAGAAATGTTTCTCTTGTGTTGGATTATCCAAACTCAGGGATACCTAAGAGAAAAACAAGTGACTGTGAATGGTGTGTGCATCTCTGAGTGCTCTGAATTGTCTTCCATGGCTTTAAGTTTCTCTTCTCTTGTGTTATCCAAACTCAGGGATACCTAAGAGAAAAACAAGTGACTGTGAATGGTGTGTGCATCTCTGAGTGCTCTGAATTGTCTTCCATGGCTTTAAGCTGAATGTTTCCTTTGCAGGTCCAGCCGCTCCTGCCGTCCCTTCCAGCCCAAGCCACCCATGACGTCAAGTTCCAGGTTGGAGACCTGGTTTGGTCCAAGGTGGGGACGTACCCGTTCAGGGATACCTAAGAGAAAAACAAGTGACTGTGAATGGTGTGTGCATCTCTGAGTGCTCTGAATTGTCTTCCATGGCTTTAAGCTGAATGTTTCCTTTGCAGGTCCAGCCGCTCCTGCCGTCCCTTCCAGCCCAAGCCACCCATGACGTCAAGTTCCAGGTTGGAGACCTGGTTTGGTCCAAGGTGGGGACGTACCCGTGGTGGCCTTGCATGGTTTCATGTGATCCACAGCTTGATGTGCATACCAAAATCAATACAAGAGGTAAGGGAGGAAGGTCTTGGCGGGAGTGTGTCAGGTGCCTGTAGCTGTTCCCTTATTGCAAAGGCTTTGTCTTTGAGCTGCCTTGGTGGGTGGATTCTGCTGTGGGTGTACTCAACAGTCCTGAGCTGTACAGGACTAGCACCTGGGAAATCCCCTTTGCAGGTGAGCCTGTGCATACAGGCCTTGTGCACAGCTGCCTCTGCTTTGCTCAGGTCAGTGTGAGAGTGTTCGGTGAGGGTAGGGCGTAGTGACCTTCCATCTTAAACTGCTCGGGATCTGGGCCCTTGTATTTCTGCCCTTCAGCCAGGCGCCTCCACCTGCAGGAATGGAGCCATGGGGAGGAGGAAGGTGTAAGCTGAACAAGCAGATCTTAATACAACTGCTGACTGGTGTTTTCCCTGTCAGGTGCCCGGGAATACCACGTCCAGTTCTTCAGCAACCAGCCGGAGCGAGCCTGGGTGCACGAGAAGCGCATTCGGGAGTACCAAGGGCACAAGCAGTATGAGCAGTTACTGGCTGAGGCTGCCAAGCAAGCCAGCAACCACTCTGAGAAGCAGAAGGTAGGGGGGGCACTGGCTGTGAGGGTCCTGTGTGTAAGGGGAATGCTCTGGGGCAGGTCTGGAACTTGGCAGTGCTTTGCCCTGAGAAGGCTGTCTGCATGTCACTGGCAGGAGTGTTTCTCACAAAGATAACCAAAATGTTTCCATACTGATATAACTTCCATGTGAAAAGGCTGAGATCTGAACCTGTTCCTCATGATGAAGTGATCCTGGGCACTGGAGATGATCTTACATCTGAATTAGCTTATTAAGTAAAATCAGGGCCTCTGTGTTCACTATTAACTTGTCTTTTGGAAAATATAGTCTTTAAAGGACTTTCTTCCAGCCCCTAATACTAGTGGATATGTTCCTTTTCTATTGTATTGGAAAGGAATTATTAGCTACAGGAATCACTTACTGTGTGGATGAATTACTTCAGTCAGTGTTTATGCTGATCAAGATACTGATGTGGAAGGAAAAGAGTGTTTATAGAAAAATAGGGAGATTTTAAAAGTAGCTAAGTTGGCATGAACTGTGCATCTTACAATGGAACTTGGATTGAATACTGCCCGTGCCTGACGCTAGAGAAGTCATTACCCAGGGCAGAGACTTCATTGTGATGGTCTTAGGATCCTGCTTGAGTGTGTGGTTGTACTCAGAGCAGGGCATTCACTGTCCTCCTGTCAAAAATACCCTGCTAGTGGAAAGCAATCCTGAACCTGCTGCCTGAGAGATGTGCAGACTCTCAGAGCTGCGTTGTGAGTGCTGTACATGGAAATATCTTCAGTGTAATCAGCTGCTTGTCTTTGTCCCCTAAGATTCGCAAGCCCAGGCCACAGCGGGAGAGAGCTCAGTGGGACATTGGCATTGCCCATGCTGAGAAGGCACTGAAGATGACCCGGGAAGAGAGGATAGAACAGTACACCTTCATTTACATAGACCAAGAGCCAGAGGAGGCTCTGGCCAAGGCCAAAAAGACTGCTGCTTCCAAGTCGGAGGCCAAGAAGAACCGGCGGCCGAAGCCAGCGCTGAGCACGCAGCCCGAACAAGCCAACATGGTGGCAGGATCGTCCCCTCCCGGCACTGAGGCACGGAGACAGGGCCAGCGCAGGCAGTCCAGCGCGGAGGAGGAGGAGGCACCGCCTGTGAAAATCGCGTGGAAAACAGCTGCAGCTAGGAAATCCCTCCCGGCTTCCATAACCATGCACAACTTGGACCTGCAAAAATGTAACATGTCTCCAGTTGTTAAAATTGAACAGGTTTTTGCCCTTCAGAATGCTGCTGGGGATGGAAAGCTCATCGATCAGTTTGTGTATTCCACCAAGGTACGTACTTGGTGCAGTGACCCTCTCTTTTCATGAATTATCCCAAGCCTGTCTTACTGGGGAGCAAGTTTTCACTCTCCACGCTCCTTTCATTGGAGAGGTTAAATCTAACAGACAGATGTGACAACAGAACATTTCAGTGTTCTGAACCCCAGTGTCAGTGCAGCTCTGGCAGTAGCTGTTTTGCTGGTGGTAGAGCAGCTCCCTACAGATGGTCACGGTTGTGCTCGTAACATTCAAAGTATTAAAGCTTACTAGCTGACTAGCTGAAATAATCCAGAAGTTAAATGTAAGACTTAAAGTCAATGTTTTTGTGGGAAACAGATGAGATGACAAACCTGTTGTTAATGTACTAAAAAGTAATAACTACATTTTGTGTAACAGACTTGTAAATTGAGTTCTGCCTCTGAGCTTCCTTCAGGTGCACAACAGCTTCCCACAGTCAGTGTAAGGAAAAGGTTTAGGACTATTTCTCTGCCTCCTTCTTCTGCCTCTCTACCTGGAGAGTGTTTATTTCATCCTAAGCCCTATAGAGAAGGTAATGTTTAGAAAAGTCACTGGAAATGTTTTTTCCTTGTGTGTAAGGGGAGATTGAGAGGGGTGGAAAGTTTTGCAGGGAAGTGACTCCACAGTAGATTTATCCTGTGCATGTGTTGGGTTGGAGAGTGTTGAGTGTTTCTGCGCTGAGATTCAGGGGCAGATCTATTACCTGGTAGCAAGAACACCTGTATAAACAGGGAAAGACAATCTTTTCCTTTTTTCTATTTAAGGGAGTTGGTAACAAAACAGAGATAAGCATCAAAGGACAAGAGAAACTTAATTCTTCATCAGCCCAGAGAAGTGAAAAAGCAGCGGTGCAAAATGTGTCCTCTCCTGAGACAACTTCTGGGTCAGCAGGTAGGGAAACTGCAGAATCCTGCTCTGAACCTGAGCCCTCAGCATGGAAAGTCAAATACCAACCCCAGCGTTTTCTCATTACATAAGAGTTATTATTAACATCTTTCTGTTTACATACCAGTGGTGAGGAGCGTGGCTGATGTCACACACAGTGAGCCCAGGTGTGCACACAGCGTGTCCGTGCGATGGGACTAGCTGCTTTGGCCTCTGAACCTTTAGTGTCTGTGACTTGCAGTCTCTGAGTCAGCACACTGGAGGGCCAGTGCAGAGCAGAGCTGTAGAAGACAACATAGTGGATGGGCACCAAATGTGAAGCACAGGAGCTGGGATCAAAGGAAGAGCCTGGGGAAGTGGCACAGTTCAGTAGGAGTGGCTGGTTCAGGATGGGGCTCCCCAGGCTTTGCTGTTGAGGTCCTGTTAAAGGACAGGGATTGTTTTATACTGCTTCAGCTAACTCTAGCAGCCAGAGAGGTAATGCTTGCATGAAGGCATCTCAGGAGTCCCATCATAAAGCACTGAGTTCTGAAGTATCAGGTCTGAGGGAGAAGAACCACAGAAGCAAATAATGGAGCTTGGGACTGAAAAAAGAAAACCTGGAATGAGCTATTTAAATCTCATAATGTTGCCAGGTGTCACTTCTGCTTTAACTGCCCATCTGTTTGGTTATTTCTCCCTTGCCAAGCATGAAATAAATGAGATCCAGAGTCAGAAACCTCAGTGGTCAGTGTCCATGAGTCCTCTGCAAACACACTCCGGGTTCTGTCTGTGCGTACTTCCTGGGTTATTTGATGTGCTCTGGTTCGTGGACTGTGTTTGGGACTGCAGAATACAGGCTGAGTGCTCTGGATTTTCTGGTGTGAGTAGGGTTTCCCCTGCAGTTGTTGACAGTGGTGGTTCTTTCCAGCTGTAGTTGCTGTGGCTACTCGAATTGCCTTGCAGCAAGAGAGGCCATTGCTGTTCCGCTGCTCTCACCTAGGAGCTAAAGGCTTCCCTTCCCCATGGCCCCTCGGGCATGGGAGATGAGAATCCTGAGCCTCTCTTTTTTCATTTTCTTAGGGGTTTTGGATACATAACACTCCACCCACTAACACCCTGTAAGCTTCCCTGGGTGCACACTCCAAACAGTCACTCCCAAAGCCATTCCAAAGTCCAGCCGGTTATTGGGCCCCTCTCATGGAACATAACTGCCAACTCTTTTTTTCCCCATGTAAGGTCATCAGAACTTCAGAATCCCTTTATGGTAAAGAATTTCCCAGGCTGATCCGGGGAGTCCTTATTGATATCCTGCTGTTAGATACACAGAATTCCGTAATGCTTGGGAGACAATTCTGTCACCTGAAATCTGCCAAGAAAGCAGCCCTGACAGTCCCTAGTGCCTCTGGTCTGCACAGGCACCAGACAGGTGTAACCTGTAGATAGGCAGAGTGCTGCTCTGAAATCCATCCTGAAACCAGATCAGAATATGCCTGAAGATGGAATAGGAGCATTGATGGCTGGATCCTTGGGGAGCAGGAAGAGGAAAAAGTGCCTGTCGTGTTGACCAATGTTGCTGTCAGCCAACATTAGATGTGCTGGGGCTGGAATTCTCCGATCCAGGGTTTGATCTTAGTTCCCTTGCTGCAGTGGGGCAGCACAGGGAGAAACCCATTCTTGGTTACATGAGCTGTTTGGTCACACCTGCTCAAATTTGCCTGAAGATTACCAGGAGATTTTGGGCAAGGTGACAGAAGATGTTCCCTTGCCAGGGTGTGGAGAGCCCCTGCAGCTGTGGGAGTCCCTCGAGGGATGGGGCTCATTGGAACCAGAAGTTACATGTGGGACAACATGAAGGATATTGACCTGAGTCGTTAACTTCTAAATTAATGTGCTGTGACAGTTTTTTCCCTTGAAGACAAGACAAGTTTTCTCCCTCAGAATACAATTACTATAGCAGGATAACTTTTCCAACTGGATACTCCGAGCCATGCAGCTCATCCCATGGATCAAGAGGAATTTTTTTCTCTGGAGTCCTTTTGCAAGGCTTCCTTTCAGTCTGATTCAAGCCTGCCTGTCTCTCTAGGTACTACATCTCCTAACAGGACCAGGCAGGTTTTCAGCTCCCGACAGTGTGTCTGCCTGGCACAGTCTCTGCTCCCAAGAATTTACAGTGTTGCTCAGAAGAATACAAAGTATTTCACAGTTGTGTCTTCTTTAGGTGAAACCCCCCAGATGGAAACCCAGGAATAATGGTTCACAGCAGCTCTTTGTCAGTCCTCAAGTGCCAATGTTATGTCAGCTCCGAGTGTGTGCTTGTTCTAAGAGCTGCCCATGGTGGTGTGTCGTGTTCGTGGTTCTCCATGTGCCTTTTGGGTGGTGCTGGAGCACGGAAAGGTCTTCTGATTTTGCCAGCCTTAGTTGCCAAAACCCAACAGCTCCTGCTTCATCTGTTGAAACGCCACAAAACCCCTCATTAATCTGAGTTTGTTCTCCATGGCCCTGTTTTCAAACCCTTGTTTTTCCAATTCATTACTGACGGTAACATGTCGTGGTCGCTGCTTCTGTGTGTGCTGTGAGGTTTTCTTCACCTCCAGGTGAGCATTGGGGCTTGGTGTGGATGGCAGGTGTTACAGCGGGGTCTGGCTGTGGTGTTTGTGTGAGCAGAGTCGGTGTTTGGGGGGAACTTGAAGCTGTGCATTGTGTCTGAAATTCGTAGCTTGTTTCCCCTCAAGGAGCTGGTTGTGGCTACCTTCCCAAAACACCAAAGATGGACTGTTTGGTTCCAAATTAACCAAGTGAAGACTGTGCCTGAGAGGTGTGTTATGGAAGGCTGTTTGCCCTAGGCTGGATTCCAGCTTTTTGTGCCGCTCTGTTACTGGTGTCTGTTTTCTGAAGCTGATCTGTCACTGGAATCAGGACGTGTGTCTGCAGCCACAGCACCAGCTGGCAAATAGCTTGGAACTGAATGGAAAAATAAAACATTCAAAAGAGGACAAAGTCTTGGTTTCGTTCCTTTACCTGTGGGTTTGGCATTGCACACTTGCTGTACCTCAGAAATATGAGGAATTGTATAATGGAAACCTTTTTCCTTCTTCAGGTTCTGTAGAAAAGAAGCAACAGAGAAGATCGATTCGAACCCGCTCTGAGTCTGAGAAATCCACCGAAGTTGTGCCAAAGAAGAAGATCAAAAAGGAGCAGGTTGGCTTCCTCCATGTAGAGAGTTAAAATATATTGTATTCATAAATGTTGTGGCTTATATTGGTGCCTTTTTATTTTTCTCCATTTTTCCCCATCGGGTTTCGGTTTGGACTATCCTCCATGAAATCCCCCTGTCAATGCCATTGCTGTGACTCTGCTACTGGCATCTTCTCAGTATCAGTCAGGCTATGGAAGTGGGAACGCAATGATGGATGACTCCTAACGAACCTGCCATGTTTCCTTTGAGATTTCTGTTCTGAGCAAAATGGGTTTGTTTCAGTGATTTCTCTTGGATGGAATTGCCACCAGGGTCCTTCCTTTTGGCTCTTGATTTAGCTGCTGGTTTGTATTGAGGTTTTGTTTTTCAAATGAAGTTAGAATGATTAATCTGACCACTTCTGAAAATGGACTTTAAGAATGATTTCACTTACAGATGAATAGTCAGACTTTAATGTTGGCAGACATCAGCAAAACATTCTGGGATATACCTTCATTTCCTGAAGTAGCTCTAACATGTACAGGGCATTCCTTTAATCTGGATGTCAGACAGACAAATGTTGTTGCTTTAAAAGAAATTATAAAAACATTCTGCATGGAAACGAGTAGGAAAGTGCAGTGGATGGACAGAAATATTAAAACCTGAATACACTTCTAACAAGTTTGTCAAAGTTGTTGGTTCTTTTCCTTACATGGTCGATTTTCCCTCTTCGAGGGCCTCTCCGTCTGAACCCCGAGAACTTTATATAAATGTTTCATAGCTTAGCTTCTCCCAGTGAGAATTTTTAAAGAGAGACAGTCAGGATGAAGAATTATATGGGAAGGGGAAAAAATGTTTTTATCTCTTTTATTTATTCTTTGCCTTTTGCGCTTTGTTTTGCACTTCTTTCACTTCAGAGACTGAAAGTGAACCCAGTTGCTTTTTTTTTTTCCCCCGTGTTTTTCCTTTGATGCCAGAGCATTTCTGCTCCAGCTCCAGACAGTTTCTTGCTGAAACTTTAAAGCCATTAAACGTTGGGCATAAGACACCTGACGTGATCCCTGAAGCTCCTTGGCATGAGGTGCTGCAGCCTCCCTGTTCCAGAGGAGTTGTTTTGTGTTTGTAAATGTTTCTTAATTTGGCAAAGGTATAAGAACCAACAAGATGAACTTCATGGATCCCAGGTAGCTTCGTGTACTTCTCTTACCTGGCTAACTCAGTCTGTGGACGCTAACTGAAGTGCTTTTCTCAGGAGAAGTATCTGCCTAAAGTGACACCCAGGGGCACTGTAATGCGCAAAGCCTTGAATGTATTAAGTTTTATTTAAAAAAAGAAATCATTTTACTAACTTCTTACAATTATGCAACAATATTTGTTACCCAAAGTCAAGTTTTCTTGCAACTGATTCCCCAATTAGTCTGCAACAACTTGGTATAAAATTATAACTGGAACGAATACAATTAAATGGGAAAAACAAAATGTTGATGCTACTGTTACAGTGACTAGTGGAGAAATAAAAGTGATTGTTTAGATTTTATATTTGTATTACAAAATGTATCCTATACAAATCCTTCTATTGTATGTTTTTACCTATTGTACAACAAAATAAAATATTTTTTAAAAAAATTATAGAACAATCCTTAAATATTTACTAAATGTGTTTCTCCATGCATATGTAACCCCATTGTAAAGGCATAACTTGTAATTCTTAACCTTAAAACAGGATTTTAGGCAACAGCTTTCTTCTATAACTGTTATCCAGTCCCTAAATTCCCACATCTTCCATGTCCCTTGGCAGAACAGTTCCTAAACTTCTCCCTAGGGTCGAGGACTGGAAGTGCTTTTGCAAGACTGTAAAGTTGTACATTTGTGTGCCGAAGTGTTTGTGCCCTCGAGCCCAGCTGTGTAGAGCCCTGCACCGCGGTGCCCGCCGGGCCCGTGCAGCGCTCTAGACAGGGAGAAAGGGCTCCAGGAGCTCCAGGAGTGCTGCTGGGAGCACCCTCATGGCCCTGCATCGTGTCACACCTGTCCAGGGAAACGTGTGCTCGCGCAGGTGTGGGGTTTTATGAGGCACCAGGGTTGGCTGCCCAAAGGCCCCCTGCCGCTGCCTGCTGGACACGGATACAGCGCTCCTGTCACCTTCATGCCCAAAGGGAGAGTGAAAGGACCTGGCTGGTGACCTGTGGCTGCTGTGGCTCCGGGCACCAGCGTAGGCAGGAGCGAATCCGGCGGGAAGCGGAGGCTCGCGCAGAGGAGGGGATGGCAGCCCCCACCCCGATTCTAACCCCTTAAACTGACCTGTTTGCTTTTTGGTACTAGGGAGAAACATTCCTCTGGTTTTAACTCTGGGTTTTCCTATTCAAACAGGTTGAAACGGTCCCACTGGCAGCAGTGAAGACAGGATTGCAGAAAGGTGAGTTACAGAGGAAAATAAACTTGACTACACTTCACAGTTCATCACACCTGGGCAGTGGCTTTGTGCTGTGGAAACTGCAGTGTTAATTCTCTCAGTGTGAGGTATTGAGCTCAGCTGCTCTGCTGAGAAGGTGCTGTTTGGTCCTGTTAGTTGTGCAGTGCTGGTGGAGGGATGGTGTTGGTCTATGGGCTGTAAGCACCCAAGTCCTGGTCATTCCTTAAAAGTATTTGCTTAACCATATGTTAAAGATGGATGATGAAGAGGAAATTTCCAAAGGGTTTATCCTCCCTTAGAGACAACTTAGTAGCTTCCTCCTCTGTGTCAGCATGTTCAGAATTTTGTCAAGAGCTCTACCTAAGGTGGTTTTCAGTTAATGAGCTTTTCAGGGAGAACTAAACTAGCCACAAAATTGCAAGCTGAAAATGAAGGCAAATAATGTAATTCATGCTAACTCATATTTCTTTTTCCTTGATTATTAAAACTAATTTGAGTGTGTTGTGTTAAGGTGCCAGTGAGATTTCAGACTCCTGTAAGCCCTTGAAGAAGAGGAGTCGTGCCTCCACAGACATGGAGCTGACCAGCTCGGCCTACAGGGACACGTCTGACTCAGATTCACGAGGACTCAATGATTTGCAGGTAAAGGTGTGTTGGTTTTCTCACTGGTTGAGCTGTCAGTGTATAACAGGCTTTTCAATTGATTATTGCTAAAGCTGTGAACACCATTTTCTTCATGTCTTTTGTTGTATGAAAACATAAAGCCTGGTCTTTTTACTTCCAATCCTCTCCGTTGGATATATACAAAAATACCATCTTCATTTACAAATTTTCCTACTTCTTTGTCTGGCAAGGCATTAATTTGGGTCATGGTTTGCTCTGTGGAAGGTTTGAGATTCTTTAGGATTTTTGGGGATGCTGCTGTACCTGGTGTAAATCAGAGAGGGATCTGGAAAAGTGAAAGAGCTCTTCATGATGTTTGGCTTGTACAGGTGAGATAGATCAAGAAGGCAGTGCTTGTTGTGTCATTCCAGTGAAGTTCAGCACCTTTACAGGACCTTTGTGTCTCTTGGCATGTTGAATGGTCTTTTGATCAAGTAACAGAAAAATTTTCCCCACGTGGTTGTCCTTTGGAAGTGTCTGGTTTGAGTGGTGTGGCTGTTTGCTCTCTGTAGGGCAGTTTTGGGAAGCGCTCGGACAGCCCATCGGCCACTGCTGATGCTGATGCCTCGGACGTGCAGTCGGTGGACTCCAGCTTATCCAGGAGAGGAACTGGAACAAGTAAAAAAGACACTGTTTGTCAGGTAACAAACTGGTGGCCCTGGGAAGCGACGGGCACTCACTATTTATCCCCCATTTCTGTCAGTTTTCGGTGGCCCTGGGAAGTGACGGGCACTCCCTATTTATCCCCCATTTCTGTCAGTTTTCATATTATACTGCTCTGTTTTAACCATGTCTCAGAGTTGGACCTCTCCGGTCAGATATCCAGGCTTTTAGGGGTTTTATGCTCTGGGAATGACTCATATGAAATGTTACGAAATTCCTACGCCCTGCTGCGTGCCAGAAAGCTCAGAAGGTGAAAGGTGGTGTCTAATCCAGACCTGCCAGCATCACTAGAAAAAGCAAGTGCTGTTTTCTGCTTCATTTGAAGGTTCCAGATGGGTTTTCAGGACAGAGCAGAGTGAGAATTTTCCAGTATTTTGAAGACAAAATTCTGGTATCTTCTGGCCAGTTTCCTGGTTAATAGTAAGGACCTGAAGAGCAATTGTAGCTTGTTCCCTGAGCAATGGAGAGTGCAGGTGGATCCTGTAGTGTCTCTCCTGTCTCTCTCTGGATTTGTGCTGTTACCAGAGCAGGGGGCATGCAGTGCTGGAATAGTCCTCATATCAGACACTTACCAGCTCCAGTTTTCCTGCCTTATCCTAGCTCTGAAGTTGTTGCAGCCAGTTGCTGTTGTTCACACCCGGCAGTCATTGGTATTTCGGGGTGTCACGTACCCTGTTCCCTGCTGAGCTCTCTGCCTGTTGCAGATCTGTGAGAGCTCTGGAGAGTCGCTGGTGGCCTGCGAGGGCGAGTGCTGCAGCGTGTTCCACCTGGAGTGTCTGGGCCTGAAGGCTGTGCCCGAGGAGAAGTTCATCTGCACCGAGTGTAAGAACGGTGAGTTATGTTGCTGTGCCTGGAAAATGAGAGGGATTTCCCTCTTTGCTGAAGATCTGCGTTCCAGTCAGTGCCTTCCCAGGGCTTGGGAGTGGGTTTGGGTTATGCTGTTACTTTTTTTAACCTCTGAGGCCAAAGTCTCATTTTCCACTTAGCATTTACTTACCTGGTAAGAAAAAAAGTAACAAACAGCTTAGGGTTTTACTTGGCATAGGGCAGTTGTGTGTTCCCAGCAGCTCTGTGGTTACTGTGCGTAGCAGTAACCAAGCCGTGGGAAGGGAAGGGGCCATGTTGCTCACACCAATGTGACTATTGCCTCAGAGTTTTGTGTAACAGTATCTCTATCTCAGAGTTGGCGGTTACAGTTGTAACTCTCTCATTCCTCCTTTTCCAAGGAGAACACACGTGCTTTTCCTGCAAGCTGCCTGGCAAAGACGTGAAGCGCTGTTCTGTCAGCACCTGTGGGAAGTTCTACCACGAGGCCTGTGTGCGCAAGTTTTCCACGGCCCTGTTCGAGTCCAGGGGGTTCCGGTGCCCACAGCACTGCTGCACCGCCTGCTCCGTGGACAAGGACATGCATAAAGCCAGCAAAGGTGAGGACACCTGCTCTGAGCAGCACGAGGAGATTCCATCGATTCCACCCTCTGTAACACAGCAAGGAACGAGGGTTTCCTCCTTCATGAGGTCATTAGCTGAAATCTCTCTGGGTGGGGAAGCAGGTGGCAGCCTGAGCCTGCTGTGCAGTGTACCTGTATCCACATACCTGGTCAGCTGTTGCTGGGTTTAGTGGAAGCCAAGAGTTCAGAGTGTGAGGCCATGGAATGCTGGCATTTAAAGACAACTGGTAGTGGCCTTCAGGATAATTATTTTTCAAGGAAAAAAGAAACCTTTTAGAAATGAATCAATGTATTTAGACCAAAAAAATGGACTCTAGAATGATGAAAACCATGTAGGTTCTCTTAACACTTTTAAAGTGAAAATTAAGAGTTAACATTCGTGAAAGTTTTTGGTTTTTTTTTAAAGAGATATAACTGTTTGTTTTTAACCCAGTACTGCGAGTGGACTAGACCCAGCCCTGCCTCTCTCTGTGGGGAGTTCTGTCCTGTCCTGACCTGGTCATTGGTGGGACTCGATGATCTCGGAGGTCTTTTCCAACCTAGATGGTTCTGTGAGCCAGGGTGACCCGGAGCCTCTCCCTGTGTTTCTGTTGAACAGGTCGCATGGCGAGATGTTTGCGATGCCCCGTGGCCTATCACTCAGGAGATGGCTGCATCGCTGCAGGAAGCTTGTTTGTGTCATCCCACATCCTCATCTGTAGTAACCATTCCAAAAGGACTCACTCCTCATCAGCTGTAAATGTAGGCTTTTGTTTCGTTTGTGCAAGAGGTGAGACACTTGGTTTTTCCCTGTTTTATAGTTCTGTGGTCACTTGTGCAGTTTAGTGATGAAGTATTTCGTAAAGAACAACTCCCATAGGGCTCCCTGGGGTTAAGTGCTGCCTGGGACTTTTTGTTTTGTTTTGCTTTTGTCAGCAGTTCTCATGAGATTTCTCTTGCTGTGTGGGTCCATAAGAGTTGATGCTCAAAAGCAGCGATAGCTCTCAGGCTGAGTCTCTTTGCCAGTAGGGAAAAGTGGATCCCAATCCCCCAATACTGGGAATGTCTAATGGTTATTATTCACTGGATTAAACAGAAGGAGATTTCTCTCACCACTCCCATACTAAAAACTGTTTCAATTTTTAAGGCTAAAAGGTAGGGTTTACTCATGAACTAGAAAAATTCATTTTGATTTATAACTGCCATCACATTTGAGAACTTTGATAGAAAACCTTTAGCAGGTTTCAGGCTGGACTTTTCCATATGCCAAAGTTCTGGATTTTGTTTTTTTTCTTTTTCTTTTTTTCCTTTTTGTTCCCACTTGTTACTTTTATGGCTCATCACTCACTAGTCTTCTGCCAGAGAGCAGCGTAAAAGGTGTCAGTGCAGCAATTGCTTGGGTTTCAGAGTGCAGAAGTATCATTATTCCCAGGTGTTGGAATAATAGCAGTGTATACCTTATATAGCACTGAGCAGTTTGTACTGGATGTGTTCTCTTCATCAGCTTGAAAAGTCACTGATAAGGAAGCAAAAGGGAGTTGGATCCTGAAGCTACTTGTTTTCACTTGTGTTCGTTCAGGTGGAGGTTTAATCTGCAGTAGTTTGTTATAGATACAAATGAAAGTGAATCTCTTTGGGAACTTTTCCCCTAAGTTTTGGTACTTGCTCCATGGCACAAAGGTGTGAGACAGGGACCTCATGCTTCTCTTGGGCAGAACCTGTTTAGAAGCTCCATGGAAAGGGATCCCTGCTGCTTGGCATCCAGCTTGTAGATGCAACATGGAAATTGGGATTTAGGAGTAGAATTCCCCAAGTGAATGACAGTACAGGAGTCCTGCATTTGCTGAAGATGCAGACCTACTTGTTTCTGAAAAACAGTGAAGTGCAGAAGAAAATTTTCACTTTTTTTTTCCCATTTGATATTATTTTAACAATTCTGTTTATACCTGAATTTGCTCCATAAGAGATGAAACCACACAAGTCTGTTTTCTCCTGGCAATGGGTACAACCTCTGAGCCCTGGCAGATGGAATTCCTTGTCCTGTGTATTCCCCAAGTCTTAGTTATGAGAACTTGAATGGTTGCAAATCGCTGGCACTGCCTTAATCCTCTGTGTCTTACAGCAGCTCTGTAACTGTTCTGGGACACTCTTGTGGGGTTTGTTTCCACTAGGCCTAGCTGGAATCGGGAGCCAGAGTGCTGAGGACAGCACCTGGGGCAGGAGCACTGAGCACCTGCCCAGAAAGAAATGGGGAACTAAAGGCTTTAGAAATACTTGGGCATCTCTGTGAGAATGGTGATTTGATTAGTGTGAGTTGGTGTCAGAAGCAAAGACTTTGTGTTTTAGTGCAGTTACTGAAGTGAGGAATGGAGATGTGAGACCATCTATAGAATATTCAAACTTGCTTGTGGTGAGGTCCTTGAAATACAATTTATTTTTAGACTTTTTATTCACCTTCCTGCAGTACTCTCCGTGAAGCACATTTTCTGTTCACCTGATTGCACAGGCAACTCCCCTTGCTTTAGGAATCCTCCCGAGGATGTGTGTCCAGGTGGGCTGGCACCATTCTCCTTATAACAGCGTTTCAGGCACCCTGTTCTGAGAGCTTCTGTGTGTCTGCCAGGGAAAGAACTGGGGGCTCTCTTGGTACTCATCTTTCCTTCTTCTTTAGCGCTCAGTTGCTCTGCTCTTCCCATGAGTTACTGGCCAAATGCTTCTGCTCCATCGCTCTCTCCATCTCACCTGGGCTGCCTGACTCTTTGGAGCAGTAAGGCAAAACTCTTCTTGGTGAAGGACAGAGAAGTGTAAAGACCTGGTTGGAATGGAGTCATGTAGGGAACAGTGTGCTGGACTGGGAGCACAGGGTGAGGGAGCCTCACCCCCATGGCCCAGGGCAGAACTCCATCTGTACCCTCCCCCTTGGTGCCTTACAGAACACAAACCCTCTTGTTGTTTTCTAACACAACTGTGGAGGCAAAACACTTTCCATTGCCAAGACCTCAAGGACAGATTTGTAGTGAGTGGGATGGTGAGTTCCCATGCCTAGTGCCTGTGTTCCCAGCTCACAGCAGGACTCTGCTGTGGGGATCATCACCCCCAGCTCTGCAGAGGAGCTTCCCTTTGCTGTGTAGAGAGAGGGAGGATCCCACAGATTTCACCTTCGTCATTATTCTTGTGCTTTTCTATAAATGCACAAATGAAGGGCAAAAGCACAAATGAAATACCACTTAGAAGCAGCTTATTCATCACCAGGTTTTCTAGTTGAGTTTGAGTCATTCCAGCACAACCTCTTGGTTGGTGAAGAAACTTTCTGTCAGGCTTTTCTTTTTCTTCATTTTGCCTTTTTTTCATCCCACATACGCATTAGAGGTGTTCATTGGGTTTATTTGGTTTTTCCTTTATGGAATCATGGGTAGTTTCATTGCAACTCATCTCTTTCTGTTTGTTTCGTATAGGGCTGGTAGTGCAGGACCATTCAGACCCCCTGTTCAGTTCCTATGCCTATAAGTCCCACTACCTACTGAATGAGTCAAATCGTGCTGAGTTGATGAAATTACCTATGATTCCTCCTCCTTCGTCAGCTTCCAAAAAGAAATGTGAGAAAGGTAACCAAAATAGTTTCTTTCTCTTTAATTTACTTTTGCTTTTTCTATTTTTTTCCTCTCTAAATCAACCAAGAAATGTCTGCTTGTCCCCACACTGACTGCTGTCAGTGGCCTTCACTCATGGTTATTGTGAGCCTGTGTTCATGTTGTTGGCAATTTTCTTTTTTTATTTTATTACAAAAGGGCTTAAAATAATTGCTGTCACTAAATTCTCTTTGGAGGAGGTTCAGTCACTTTGTGTCTGGCCTGGGCTGTTCCAGCTTCAGGGAGCTGTTTGCACAGCAATGTGGAGAGCAGGCAGATGGATATTGTGGCAGTTTGGTATTTACCTGGGTGATGTAAAACTACTTCTAAAATTGATCTGACTTAGGACAGTGGATGAGAAGCTCCCCATGAGCTGCAGTGTGCACTACCAGCCCAGAAAGCCAATGGAATCCTGGGCTGCATTCAAAGGAGTGTGGCCACGAGGGCTAAAGAGGTGATTCTGCCCCTCTGATCTGCTCTGTGAGACCCACCTGGAATCCTGCACACAGTTCTGGTGTCCTCAACATAAGGAGGCCATGGAACTGTTGGAGCAAGTCCAGAGGAGGTCACCAAGTTGCTAAGAGGACTGGAGCATCTCCCTGTGAGGACAGGCTGAGGGAGTTGGGGGCTGTTCAGCCTGGAGAAGAGAAGGTTGTGTGGAGACCTCAGAGCAACTGTTCACTATCTGAAAGGCCTACAAGGAGCCAGAGAGGGACTGTGTGTTAGGAACTGCAGTGACAGGACAAGGAGCAATGGATTCAGACTGAAGGAGGGAAAGTCTAGGTCGGATGTGAGAAAAAAGTTTTTCCCTGTGAGGGTG